GCGTACATCGATGCCCTAATATTCTCACTATACATGCTATCGAGATGGGCCTTTATGTCGAAAGCATGCATGTGAGAATCATATTTCCTCGCAAGCGCGGGCTCCATGGCGGCTATCATATAGCACCTAGCATGAGTGTCATCTTTCTTCCAAACTTCATAAGTTTCCTTCTCAGCATCAGTCGCTGTGTCAGGTATAGTGGCGGGAAGTCTCTCGTTCAAAACATAGAGACGCCCCTCAACGGTTAGTACAAGCTTAAGACTACGCAACCAATCTAGGTAATTAGGGCCATTGAGTTTATTGTCGAGGATTGACATTATGGGATTCTTAGACATGATTATCTGAGACATATAGAGAAAGGGATTATTAGAGATTCGCGTTAAATGATTGTTACAATTAAATGTTTGGACTTATGTTATTTAATTGTTCTCCCACTAATTTTATCGAGTTCCACTTCCCTCTAGTAGACAAACGAGAAAACAGATTTTTCTTAATGGGCTTTAGGTCCAATAGACAAATATAACCCGTAGTTAATCTAGCCCGATTATATTTGCCCAAAGGTAGATCACAATGAATCATATCCACAATATGACCCTAAATTAATTTTCCTCACACTTGATAATGACTTAAGTTAATCTCGCGAATATCAAAATCGTCGTGTGTCAAGTCTAACCTACCAATCAAAGATGCTCATAGAACTTGATTATGCCAAACTAATGCAGTCCCTAGTTAATCTAGCCGACCACGTTAATTCAACATAACCCTTTTCTATGGCTACCTTCATCGCTATGTCAATTGAATTACAGCTTACTCTACCATAGCACTCCCCGCTAACACGGCTTACTGCACTATAGTAAAGAGCTACACATAATCCAACCGTTGGCAGAAGGAAAGAAATAACTCAACAGATTGGGTTTTTCTTTATAGCTTGAAATGATTCTCAATTAAATTAAGAATGAGGGATTTTTATTAAAATGTTTTATCTCATCATAAGGTTTGGATTGGTCTATGTGATTCCTACATCTATGTTCTCTAAAGGTATATGGGAGCGCATATTGTCCTAAGAGGAACATACGACCTAATTTCATAATTAATTACATTAATTAATTATCGAGTTTTTCAAAATAATTATAGAACCTCAACTGGCATAAATCATTCAAATAATGTTGAGGTACTACTAATTAAGTTGAACCATAATCAAAATTATGAATGTGTTCTATCAATTGAAATCAATTTAACAATTTAAATTAATTAATTAATCTAACACTTATTTACTAAAATAGATGATTGTCGATCCAATTATCTAATTGGGATTAATTGAAAATAATTTTCCAAAAATTAAAATCAATTTGTTTTAAGTTTAATTTTAGAAATCTGAAATAATTTTTTTTTTTTTTTTAGTGAACCGGTTCGGCCGACCGGTTCGGACCGAAACGGTCCGGTTCTGCCCGGTCCAATTGACCCAAATCAATGGGCCGGGTCAGTCGGACCGAGAACCGGTCTGACCGACCCGAATCCACTTGGATTCGGTCAATTGAATCGTGCATAACCATCGAACCGGCCGGTTCGACCGGTTCGATCCGAACAATTGAAAAACCGACATTTTAAAAAAAATTCAGATCCGATTTTCCAATTTTTAACAATTTTAAAGTTGGAAAAATTCTAAACAATATTTCAAAAATATTTTAAACTTACGAAAACTCCCAATTACATAATACAACAATCACTACTTCAATAAATCGAACATGCATAAAATCATAGCATATTAAAACGAACGCAATTAATTGCGCAACGAGCTCTGATACCACTGTTGGGTTTCGGGCACGCGTACGCAGTGGAAAACAAAAATTTTATGCGAATTAAACGAGTTTAAAACACATAAGCACATGCCCGATAATATAAATCAATTAATTGCGTACATTTGCGCTTCCAGCGAAATTAAATAACAACATACATGCTAATTTATTTAACCGAATTTAAATCAATTAACATGCTCGCGTTTAAACCAAATAACATGCTCGTAACAATTAAAACGATTTCACGTAACCACATAAAATCATACGAGAACGAACATGAATATATATTGTTTAAACGTAAACGAATCAAGAACATGAATTCGTGTGTTTACCTCTTGAAGCGTGAGGTAGGAGCGCTAAGCAAGTCGAGATTGCTACGGAAACCAATCCGTACAATCCGAGGCAGCAGCGGTACGACGGCAGCAGCGGCGAGACGGCCACGGCGGCGCGTGAATCTCACGCGCGGTCTTCGGGGCGGCGCGTGGGATCGCGTGCGGCTTCGGCTCGTGTGCTGCTCCTCGATTCTTCGATCTTCGATCTCCCTCCTCTCGGATTTCACCTCGTATACTTCGATCTACTAAAAACGTGGCACTAGACACGTAATAGTTAGAAATAACGGAAGAAAAAGAAAGAAGAAAAGAGTACCGAAAGGGATCGACCGATTGATGGCCGATTCCGGCGACGGCGGAGCGACGGCGGCGCGGTGGTGGCCGCGGGGAGAGTGGCCGAGAGAGAGAGAGTGTGTCGGCTAGGGTTAGGGTTTTTCTCACATGTGTGCAAGACCTATAAATCTTGTATTTATAGTGTCTTGCATAAAACCCTAGCGGGCTTAAGTTGGACCGGGCCCAACAACTTAAGTTCGCTAGTACTTTTACTTGCTCGTTTCTCTCAATCCAATGACCGAAAAATTGCAACGATTACATTTTCGGAATCATTATAAAATCCTCGTCATTACGAGTGTCAACTCTCATTTTCCAACTTTCTAAAAGTGGAAACCCTAGTTCAGTGCACTTTCTAAATTTGGAAACTTCCCGATTTAGAAAGTCCACTACAACGCTCGCCTATTCTTTTCCTTTTCTTATTCTCATTCGTAATTCCAAATTACGAACGTTGGACTCAATCGTATTGACTTCCAATCATGCAAAGATAAACAATTTTATCTCTGACCGTTTATTCAAAGATCTCATGTGCACGAGCAGTGTGACCCTCGATGGTTCAGGTGTAAGCTAGCCGTGGGCCCACAACTCTTTGTGGTCAAAACTCGTCCCTTAGAGTTATGATTAAGATGAAGCTTGTTTCACCTTAATCACCCAACGAATCAAGATTGGCGTCTAGCAACTACTCGTCATGATTCCCTAGATACAAATGAAGTGCCTGCAAGAACCTTCAGATATAGTTAACGTACAGTACGGTCCCTTCGATACATAATGTCCCGATCGAACTAGAGGCATTGGTTCATCGAGACCTCTTTATATGTTCGATGACGGTGTGAACACTGGCCCTTGGGATGGTCCTCGGTGGAACTCAGGGACAGGTCACGATACAGCTGGTCCTCTAGTGAAGTCACGGTGATGTCTAGGTCATAAGGACTAATGGTGTACAACTATACCATAGATATCTCTACTCGATTATTGGGAACCACTTAGAGATTTCTAGGGTGAGGGAGTTCAGTGAACTCGTCAACTTACGAGCACCCACTTATGCATGCCGATATCACAATACCGTTTACTGATGAGATGCAGTACACATACACTAAGTGCTGGTCCTCTAGTGAAGTCACGGTGATGTCTAGGTCATAAGGACTAATGGTGTACAACTATACCATAGATATCTCTACTCGATTATTGGGAACCACTTAGAGATTTCTAGGGTGAGGGAGTTCAGTGAACTCGTCAACTTACGAGCACCCACTTATGCATGCCGATATCACAATACCGTTTACTGATGAGATGCAGTACACATACACTAAGTGCTAGTCTTAATGGGAAAGGCCGATATCCTCATTAGTGGCGTAACCCTTCGACTAGGAACACGTTTAACAGTTATAATACTTAAGTAAATATCTCACGATCCTAACGATCAATTACTAGTACTTGTAATAACTGTAAGGACTATATCTATGCTTGTGACAAAGGGACAAAGATATAAAATGCCAAGGTGTTTTATCATTAATACGAATAAAGGTTCGTTTATTACAATAATAAATACGAAAGACCACAGCCACATGTATTATTATTAGTATTAGTATTAGTATAGTATTAGTATATTAATATTAGTATTAATAATAGTCTAGTATTAGTATTTGTATTAGTATTAGTATTAGTATTAGTATTAGTATTAGTATTAGTATTAGTATTAGTATTAGTATTAGTATTAGTATTAGTATTAGTATTAGTAGTAGTAGTAGTAGTAGTAGTAGTATTAGTATTAGTAGTAGTATTAGTATCCATATTAATATCAATATTGGTATCATTATTGGTATCCGTATTGGTATTGGTATTGGTATCAGCATTGGTATCAATAATGGCGTATACATCGATATCTTATCTCTTTTACAATATTTATAAGTTGTATTATTGTTTGTGTAATGTGCATCACTAATTGAACATCGTTAGTGATAAACTTACATGTTATTTGAATATCAATTGTGTTATTTCTCTGCTACCTTATTTGTTGTTAACTTAGTTATTTTGTAGAAAATTGACATGATGTAGTAGATTGCATTCCACGAAATTGAGTTTATACAATATGTTTTAAATGATTTCACTTAATTTCATGTCGTGTTTTGCGCGTTTCGCGTTTTCTTCTTTATAATATATAATTGAATTTCTTATTTTACAACTCTTAATTAAGAAATAAAGTTTATATTTTTTTTATTTCCTTCCATTTTGTTTACTTGAATTCGTGTTGTTATAAAGAGATAGTCGTTTAAATATTATTATTTTTTCTCATTTCAAAACTGACATCCCTGCAACGCACGGGCGAAGTACTAGTAAATTGTGAAATTTCATGTCTATCGGGCATGAAGCACCGCCCATAGCGCGGTGCAACTCCCCTAATATATATTATATGTAAATGTACGTTTGTGTGACCTACTATTTCATTCTCATATAAGAATTAAAATGTCTATAAAATGACTTTTGTGTGACAGAAAAACCTTTAAAAATTAATTAAAAGAAATTTAAAAAAAAAAAAAAAAGAAAAAAGAAAGTGGATCTAAACATAAACCCTTAAGTCAACAGACAAATCATCTATATATTAGTGAAATACAGACACAGACGAACATGCATACTTAGGAAATTTACATTCTCTATTTTAAAAAATCCTTTCTGTAGTTCCAAATAGCCCAGTATCCTGTGCATGTAACAAATAAACAACAAAGATGACATTTTCCCAGCAAGCTAAATGAGTCGTAGTATCATGATATTCCTCACAGAGCCCCACAAGACAAATTGAATTATACATCCCCTCCAAAATTAGTTACGACTTATAAATTATAGTCGAAGCTTTTGAGTCGAAAAACCGAGTCTGTGAAAGAAAAAGGAGTACCATTAATTATGTCGACAATTAAGTTGCTTCAGTCTCGCTAATTACAAATGCTTGAATGAGACTTTGTGCAGCATTTGTTTGCTCAGGCGTCCCCGATATTATTATCACGGTTTCCAATGCCCCTTGTTTCGGATCAGTTATCGTAATTTTGGCGTCCGATATCTGTTAAACCACAAACACACAAGAAATATATTGCACTACTTCTTTGGATTTATTATCAAGTACAAAAATATAAACAGCATGCATACAAGTTCATCATGCACGAAAGCATGATTATCTACTTACAGAATATAGACACAATAATTGGGCATTCAACATTGCTTTGTCCTTTCTTTGAGCATTTAAAGTCACGAGCATTCTCAAATTGAAAGAGTTTTACAATATTATACAATTAGGCCTCGTTTGGTTCCCAAGATAAGCCGCCAATGCCAGATTACGATAACCCAGAGGACCAATACACATTCTCCCAATAAACCATGACAAGAGCTAATTTCTACGTAATTGCGAAAAATTGTTGCATTAACCAAACATCAAATAAAACCTATTAGTTTAATTTAATCATGGCTTTATCTTATCAACCAATAAAGACCTTAGTTAGTCAAATCAGACCTTAATTCCCAGAGGAGTTTACTTACTAAACCCCAAATCAGGACCTAATATCACATACCAGGACTAGAAGAAATACATCTGCAAAAGTACTGCACAAGACCAACCGAAAACCCACCTACTTAAGCATGGTGAGCGATGAAATCTCAAACATGCCATAATAACACAACCATCAAACAATTATATCACTAACAGTAATAGATCGTAAAAAGACCAAGGAAAATGATATCTTCTTGAAGAAAAATCATGAGATAAAAATGGTATAATTCTATCATTCAAGATGCTTTTCAGAGTACACATTTCGACACCAAAAGGTAAGGAGAAAGGTGAGTAAACACTAGCACAATGATATACATGAATCCTAGTCGAAATGAGGGCGCAAGCAGCAAAGAAGCTTAATGTACTCCTTTGATTAGGAACACAAAGATAACTCCCCGCAATATAGATATACGTACCTCACGAATTTGTCTAATACACCCACCATCCTCACCATAGATTGCAGGAACAACAAAGCGAGGAACAACAACTTCCACAGTTGTGCTTGTAATAACAGCAGACTGATTTCCTCTACATTAGCGAAAAGAAAAATCTAAATGCAATTCCAACACAACAAATAAATAAAAAACAAATAATGCTGAAATATTATTGGTGGCAATCTAGAAGAACAAACCCTGGAAATCCGCCGTGTCTTCTCTGAGGAGCGCCTGGATAGTCCGGGAATCCCATAGGGCCCGGCCCATCCATTGGTCCCTGCATTCAAATTCAGAAAAAGATGAGATAAAAGTTCATTTTAGAGGTTGAAAGTATAATTAGTCATTATCTTGAAAGTTGACCAAAAAATTGTGATACCTGAGGCCCCCATGGTGCTGCAGGTGGCATTCTTTCAGACATATGAGGAGGAATTCCTGGTCCGGGAAAGTCATGTCCAAAAGGAGGGTGATCATCACGTGGATGGAAACCGCCACCTGGCGGCATACCACCAGGACCATCAAAGTTGTTAAAAGATGGACCTCGATTAGAGTATGGTCCAGGCGGTGAAAATTCCCTCCTTGGCATGTATGGAGGAAATGGTGGCATTTGCTCCATAAATGCTGGATTGGGAGGGTGACCATAAGGTGGAAATACATCACGGAATAAATGATTTTTCAACCTTGATGTAATCTGCATGAGAGCCTCTTGGACTACTTCAAACTCTCCACTTGCCTACAATTGCACGTAACAAAAGCAAAGATAAACAGATCAAAGCAAGTCAGGGGCGGACCTAGGACGATTTATTAGGGGGGGCGGAAATTGGGGGTTCGGGGGCATAGCCACCGATCTTTTTAAGGAAACTGATTAAAAAATGCAAAAAATATAAATAAATAAATATCTATATATTATATTTTAATTGAACTTTTTTTTAACCATAATGATTTATATTGTAATGTAATATGAAAAATAAAATGAAATACCTAATAGTATGGAGAAAACAAAAAATTGAAGAACCAAAACTCATGCTTATAGAAAACTGGGAGGGGGGGGGGGGGGGGGGGGGGCCAAAATCCATATTTTCCAATTGTTATTAAAATATACTTTAAAAAATTTGGTTTTTTTAATTCTTGGGGGGGCAACAGCACCTGCCATCACTATGCTCCGTCCCCGGGGTAGAAGGTACTCCAATATAAAATAGGATTAACCATTTTACACACAATAATATATGCAACACTCAAGAAAAATGAAATTGATATCTCAACTTTGATGCATGCTACCATACCAGAACTACTTCCTCATTTTCTGAAGCGTTCTTCGGGACCTGTTCTTTACCCAGAATACGGATATAAGCTCCAGTTGACTTCCTCATTTCAGCTATGACCGAACCACCCTTACCAAGGAGGCATCCAATTTGATTCGAGGAGACAAGCAGTTTCGCTGCCATGGTGTTGTCCTTGTTTTCTGGTGCAGCCCTAAATATCCTAGCTTGCACTCTAAGTACTGCATCTTGTGGGGCAGATACTCCATCATCTGGGTACTGCACCCAATGGGATTTCAACAACTATTTATTGGCTTGCACAAAATTATTGAAAGTGACGAAGAAAAAAAAAATCAAAATATAATACTCGACAGATTAAAGAATTGAAGGCGTACAGCAGGGCCAGATATGATAATTATGCGATCCTCTGAATCCCCTGCACCATCTAGGACCTTGATATCACACCCCGTTTCATGTTGAAGTGCCTTGACTATTGAACCGCCCTTTCCAATTACACCACCTACCTTCTCCTCGTTACACAATAAGCGGAAGTTTAGAACCTCAGGTGGGAAATTCCCTCTACCAGGCATAATGGGCTCTCCATCATGAAACACAGAAGAATAAGGCTCTCCATGCCCATGGAAAGGACGGTGTGGCGGCGGTGGTGGTGGAAATCTGTCCTGTCTCGAAGGAGGACCAAAGGACTGAGATGATTGACCACCCATGTTGATAGGGAAGGAATCTTGATTGCGAATAAAACTTTCAATTAGATTCTGAGAAACTGACAGAAGAGCTTTCTTAATGGCATCCTGTTTGCCAGTGATCTGGAAAAAGCAAATTAGATGTCAAAAGCCGCTCAATTAATCTAGTGTCGAGCACAATTTATGATTTTATAACTAATAAGTAATGTATACGGCACAGAGAAAGTTCACAGCACAGTTAATTATGTTCAAGGAATAAGCTTATAAAACAAAAAATGAAAAACGTACCTGAACCAATTCATCAGAAGAAGATGAACAAGAAGGCAGCTTGTCCTTTGGAAGAATTCGAATCTGCGCCCCACTTTCAGATGACATTTGTTTGATAACACTGCCACCTTTCCCCAACAGAGAGCCCACTTGACCAGAGAAGACGAGTAGCCTAACAACAAATGAAGATGGCTTATTACCTTCTTCATCTACTTCTTTTGTGTCGGACAAAATAGCGACCATTTTATCAAAGACAACTAGCAAAGCTTTCTGAACTGACGAAGGTTCTTTTTCCTTCTCTGGTCGAGAATCATCAACTGGAACAGCCTGCTTTTCATCTTCTTCTGCGTTTGCACTCAACTCAGGGTTCTTAGTCTCCTCACCTTCAGACTTCATTTGTTTGGTGACATTTTGATTATCTCGATCTGAACCAACTATAATAATTACCCTCTCGTCACATCCAAGAACACTTTCTTCAACACGGACTTTTGCCCCAGTCTCTTGGCGTATTTGAGATATGGTGCTGCCACCTTTTCCAATAATTCCACCAACTCTGGAAGCAGGGAAAAGCAACCGTATCATCTTGCCGCCGGAAGAGGATCCTACAAATGATGCATTATCAGATCCCACACCGGATGATTTCTGCCATTTCCTTCTACCGCCTCCTTCTGCAAAGCTTTGGTCATATGGTCTCTTAGCAGGTGCCACTTGAGCAGACATGGCTTGAAACCCCGTTAAGAGAATTATATAGCTTCTGTAGAGAATAGAAGGAACGATTTCTTTCATAACAAAATCATAGAGTAAAGTGCACACGACATTCCATCACAAATAAAGAAAGGAACGGTCCATTTCGCCAATGTGGTCAAGTAATAATAATAAAATAATAAAAAAAACAAATTAGGAAAATAATCACTAAACTGACAAAAAAGTGCTATTATAAATCGACTCGGAATCTCAGATAACTGTAGGTGCGGGACAAAATTAATGAAATCCCAACATGAATAGGATATTATTTGCTACAACGTAAATAATACATCTTTACAAATTAGTAACTCGATTTCAATTTCCTAATAACAAAATTATACTTCTGCAATCTTATACAACTGGCACACACATTTTGTGTGTCGGTTCCCCAGAAGTTTCTAGTTAAAGATATGCCTTGCGATCGAAGAAAGTCATAACTAGTCTTTGGTATTTATTGATCTTATAACGTTCTAGACAAACGTCGAACAGATATCAAAACAATCAAGTTTCCACTTTCCGCTACCAGGGATTACAAAATCAGCACAGATAATCTGACACGTGCTCAAAATGTGTCGAATTAATTACCTTTTACGAGATATCCAAGATTTTAATCCAGCTACTCCATAAAACAAATGCTACCAGCTCTAACTTTCAGATTATTTGGTGACATGTTTATCAGTTTTTTTTTTTGTCTATCTGCTGTTGTGAAAACTTTATCTAAAACCTCACCTTCAACACTAACTAAGATCGTCCTATCCTCTCATGGAATGAAGAATTAATCACACACAGAGAAAGTAAACATACATTCAGATTTTAGCATCAGACATGATTTTGTCAATTTCTGAGAAAATTCCAAAATTTGATCTACAGCTTCATGAACAAATCAGTCGTGAATTCAAACAAAAACACAGAATTAAACTTAAAAAATGAGTTCATCCGCAAAAAGATACAACAATGGCACGGAGAAAGAAGCACGTGCATGAAAACGGATATCTTTCTGGATGAATGTGGAAAAATAATCAGAAAAGAAGACGATAAATTTAATTAATAGAGTTTAAACATAAAATGGAGATCGAATTTTACTTACAGCAAGGAATTACACAAAGAGAGTCTTCTTAATTCCAATTGAATTTTCTGCAATTGGGTTTGGGTTTTTTCGCTGGCCAGAGAGAAATTGCGAACAGTGAAACGAAAACCCTTGAAAGATTTGCTGATTTTATAATTTATACTACAGTATGAAATGGGCCGGGTTGCCTGACCCTGTTTGGATCACATGTCGGACTCACCGGACAACGACCCGGTGTCTCCTACCAATTTTTCATTTCTTTTAGATTAAATTCTTTATTTGGGCAAATGTCAAATACACCTTTGATTTGTCTTTCGAATATTTCCAACTCATTCAAACTCATTTGCAAATAAGGAAAACATTTATATATATACCAAAATTACCCCAAATTTATTGAAACTCAATTCAACTCCAATTTCATGATTTACACCCCAATTTATCCTAATTTCACCAATTTCAAAAATTTCTGATATATATATATATATATATATATATATATATATAAAGAAAGGTGCGAGGTCGAAAACAATAATATTAATTAAAATATTTTATTTTAAGAAAAAACAAAGTTTTCAAAAAAACAAAAAATGTCAACGCCGGAGACCAGCGGTCTCCAGCAGCTGACCGCTGGTCTCTGAATGAGGCGGTCAAAATTGGTTAATTGGTGAAGTTAGGATGTAAAACACGAAAATTGAAGTAGAATTAGGGTTTCAAGGAGTTGGGAGTAATTTTGGTATATATAAAAGAATTTTCCTTATATGCAAATAAGGAAAATTGAAGTTGAATTAGGGTTTCGGAGGGTGTTTGGCTAAGCTTATAAGATGTTAAAAGGAGCTTATAAGATGTTTTAGAGCTTATAAGCTCTTCCAAAGTGTTTGGTAAATTTTTAGAAAAAGATCTTAATTTTTTTCAAAATAAGCTGTTGGAGAGCAAATAAGATCTTTTTAAATAAGTACATCTACCCCACCTTTTTATTTAAGATCTTTTAATGAGTAAAAATAGGAAATAAGCCCATTATCCAAACACTCTAAAAATTAATCCTAAAAATAAGATGTAACAGCTTATCAGCTCTAAAAACATCTTATCAGACGTAAGAGCTTATCTGCTGTTTAAAATAAGCTTAGCCAAACACCCTCTGAATAAGATGGATATATATTTGGAAGACAAAAAAAGTTGAATGTTTCTTTTTTAATTAGGGCACTTTACAAATAAGTCTATCAATTGGTACTTATTCATAAAGAGGTCCAAACAATAAACTATTTAGCAAAAAGTCCACACATGTCCAAAGGTTTATAAAAGACTAAAATAGCCCCTCATATTTTAATATGCTCCAATTTCATCCTTTAATTTAATTTAACATCAATTTGACCTCCAAATTTCACAAATTATTCAATTTTGACCAAAAACAGACCAGAAAAAAAAAATCAAAAAGTCAATGCTGGAAACCGGCGGCGAAAAATATTATTTATTATTTTATTTTTTTTTGAAATAAAGTCAAAATTGGATTTTTGTGATCAAAATTGATTAAATTGGGGTTACAATTAATAATTGAGTGTAAAGGATTGGAGGTATTTTTGTCACATGCATGAATTTTTATTTATAACTAGCATTTTTTCCCCATGCGATGCACGGGATATTATTTTAAAAGTGAAAAAAACTAATTAATTTAATACAAAATAAGAAAATATAGTACACTGACATGGTAAAATTTAATAATGTAGTTTTATTTATTCATATATATATATATATATATATGACATTAGTTTTTTTTTTTTAATTTTACATATTGAGATTTATAATCCAAATATATAGATAGGGTAGGATTCTTCACAATTTAGTTTTAATTTTGATAATTGTTAAAAATTATAGTTAGAAATTAGTAGAGAAAAAATATTAAAAATAAAAAAACGTGGTAAATTTGTTAATGTAAGATGTAGCTTGATTAACACTAGAGATAATTTTGTAGCTATTATATGAGCCATTTTTCTTTTGCTACTTTGTTAAAAAAATGGTGATTTTGTTTTACTCTTTTTATAGTTTTTCAAAGGGTGATATATATAATTGCAGTAGTGATATTAAAGAAAAAATCACTTAGAGAAAATTATCACTTATAAATTTATAATCTGAGAAACTTATATGGATTAATAAATAGATTACAAGTAATTAATTGTGTAACTTGTTATAGTACAAGTGAAATCCTTCAATCTTTAAAAACAAAATTATATCTCAATTTTTATTTGAAATAACTAATCCCTAGAGATTGTGTATTCCTTTAGATTATATATAATTTTATCTCTTGGTGCATGCTTTATATAATACAAGAGATATTTAAACATGATTATTTTATTCATTTAAAAGACGAATTTTATCTTAAATTAAGCCGAATACATTTATTCAATTGCATCACAAGTCAAGTCAAGGAAGAGGCCAGTAAATTTTACCAATTATTTTTAGGTGGTGTTTGCAAAAGCTTTTTGAAAGTGATTATGAGCTTTTTTTGCTCATAATTTATTTTCAGGTGTTTGCAAAATTAACTTTTGGTTTTGCTTCTCTTAAAATAATATGTTTTAAGCTATTTTTTTTAAAAGCACTCATGGCCCTGCTTTTTCCATTTAAGTTTATTTTCCGACATATTTGCAAACACCCCCAACTTTTAGGAATAAGTACTTAAAACTGACATAACTCACAATCAGTAACTTCTGCTAGCTTTTAAATAATCATTTGCAAACACCACCTTAGTGTGGAGAAAATCGGAATAATTCTAAACTATGGAAATTAATCCTACGCACATTAAAAATGTCCGTTGGCAATCATTAATCGTAACTATACCGAAAAGAAAAATAACCGAAGCAACAATTTATTATTATTCGAAAATTATAAACAAAAATAGAACTACATTGCGTTTGAATCCCAATCATATTTTTTGGCCAATTTTCCCGAGGGTCCGTCTTGATAATAGATGCCCTCGCTCATCACAGACCACGAGCATACGTGACTTTTGCACTCATCTGAATTTTTTGAATTAAAAATTTCGAAAGTTTTAATTTTCGATCCCCACCAAAGTCGACAGGCAAATGCGGAATATTCAACAATAGGGCTCACACACAACTCCAACTCCGCCGTTTGTCCTTCTCTAAGTACTTTTGTGCCGAGATCCAAATCCGAACCGCAATGATAATGCAATGGAGCAGAATCACGAGGTAGACAATTGGTTATTCGGGCCGTATATTTCCTAGTACCCGAACAAGAACTCGTTGCTCGGAAAATATTGGTTGATAAGAAAATAACTAGTAACACATTTTTAATTGTGTTGGAAGAATTCCTTTTTTCTTGTAAGAAATTGGAATTCTATGTGGTGAATTGTGTTGATGTTGATGATTAGTGTCCAATTTATAGGTAGTTTTTTTTTTTTTTTTTTTTTGAGTAATTAATTGAATTGGTTAATAATATTATTGAAATATCATATGATATTATGGAAAAAAAATAGTAAGATATTCCAACAATTTATAATAAAATATGGGTCTATATTTAAAAATAAATTATCAAATCTTGGTACAGATCAAGAAAGTAAAATAGAAAATGTTGAGTTTTTTTAATAAAAATAATATTTTATTAAATATTTTCTTTGACCAATTTATGAGGTAATTTTGACCAACATTTTGAAACATACAAGCACTTTATTTACCTCATAAAACCTCCATAAATTTTCCTAATTCTATATTAAGTATAGGTTTTATGATGACCTTATTTTACACTATAAAAGGGTGGCTTTGTGGCTTGAAAAAAATGGATGAGAGAATATAAAGAGTGAAAGAAAAATGTCTTTCAAAAAGATCATATATTATATACATATATTGAGCTCTTGTTGTCTGTCGGGTGTAAGCTTCTGCTTCACTTGAACGTGCAATTTCGGTGAAGTTACAACGGAGAGATAGGCTGGGCTCTTGTATCCCATAGGCGACACGATCGGAACCTTTTTTGCATCTCATTAGAGAAGGGGTCGTGAAATTCGTCTTAAGAGAGCGACCTAGTCCGCGCCTCACCTTGCCTATCTCCATATTATCATGGTTTTTATTGCAGCAACTTGTTACATATAAAATTAGAGAACAAATGGAGTACAAGCCTCAATCCACAAGTTTCGTGATCAATCGTCAAATTACAGCCGTGGTTCCAACAATTTAAGACGAATTTTTTTGATCCCATGAAGATGAGCTTTGACGATGATCCAAAAGAGCAACCCTTCATGATGGAAAGGGAGATGATTCGTTTTTATTTATTATCTTGTGTTGACTAAACAAAATTAATAATCTTATTTTTGTTGTAGGTGAATTTTTGTGCAATTCACGAGTTCATATTTTGAGGTCAGTTTTGGACCAGATAATATCCGAATGTGAGAATGTGTAAAACACGAAATATTTAGGCATTTCTGTTGGCTGTCCGAAACATATTGAATCACTGAAATCGGACTTCGAACGAGAGAGATATGCCCCAAATACTGAGCACTGCTACAGCTGCCAAATTGTGCGCGTTTTTGAGGCATCGAAAGAATTCGTAATAGAAATTAGGGGTCTTAAGATATAGGTCCCTAGTGACAAAACTTATTAGAACTAAATGACAAGTCTAACTAAATCTTTGCTTCACATCCTTTATAAATTTCATTCCAAAAATACCCTTAACAAATAAAAATTGTAATATACATCAAATAATATTTTAACAACATTTATCATTTTCATTTTTCCATCTAGCATTTTTTTATTATTTTTTTCACGTATAACATATTTCTCTTTTTCTTTTCTCTACATATTTCTTTTTTTTCATGTCGTATTGTTTTCATTATTATAAAAATATAATTATATCATTTTTACACTATTATAAAAAACATAAAAAAATATTTTTTTTTCCTACATAATATTGAAAATTATAAAAAAAATTGTTTTTTCGTTTTTTTATTCAATTTACATTTTTTTTTAATTTTATCTGTTGTCAAAATTGTAGTAGGCTATGAAACACTATGGTACACTATGATATACTATGGTTATGGTGTACTACAGTGTACTATGATCTACTATAGTTTACTTATCCAAACCCTAAAAGCAAAGTATACTACAGTGTACTATAGTCTACTACGGTGTACTACCAAACCCTA